AAAACTGTAGATGGAGTTACTTTTTGCCCATGAGGCACAAGCATAGTAGCTGTTTGCCATTCCCCTTAACCACAACTCTTTGCCTGTTGCTAGGTTTATTGAAAGTTAGGTTAAGATAGCACTTCCAATTCCAATACCAATGGAGGACATCACTTAGACTATGTAGATGTTTTTTTCAACAGTCTTTGATTTAAACCTTTGACCTAGGAGTCCTGGAAACACTATACATGCATTTAAACAGACTTTGGGACCTGACAGGTGCTAACAGCTTTAAGTCATCAACAGACTCTGAAAAGTCTGAAAAGTTGATGCTTCAACAAGCTGCATTCAAAGTGAACATTTCTGGATAAAGTCAGAACTTATGTGGGCCCTGGGCCTCTGTGTGACACTTACAGAAGTGGTTGGTGATGTAATAAGGAATGTAGACCTTCCCATCAGACCACTTGCCCCACATGCAGCCGCGGCTGGTGCATGGGTCGGCGTTTCTCTCGGCCTCTGAGTCGATGGCGATGTCTCCTTCAATCAGGATGGGCTCATCGACAGAACGGACTGAAACACATCATACAGCTACTTTAAAACCTGCCGAGGTGCTGCTAATAACAGAAAACATGAGGAACACAGGGACACAAGAAGATCACACTTACTCAGATTACTGTTGGCTCTCGACAGACGTTCAGAGACAGACAGCTGTTCCTCTGTAGTGACAGCAACAACAACACAGTTTGATTTTGTACACAGATACAGTAGTCACAGAACAGTGCAGGTCAGTACAACAGGTGTGATCATTAGAAGACATTACATACCTGCCTGCAGGTTCAGTGTGCAGTCAGGGGACAAGAAAACAAATACATTAGCAACAAAATATAGACCAACAGATCAAATCATTAAAAACATTTTCCTGGAATGAAAAGGTTTCATTAAAACGGTTAAAGTACTGAGATACTTAAAGAAACACCTCAAGTATGAAAGAACTAAACCTCTGCAGACTAAGTGTAGACTAAGTTCAGACTAGACCTTTGAGAAAGTAAAGAAGGCGACAGGCGTCATTGAAGAGACAGGAGGTCTTTCATGTTTGTGGCATGAAACTGATAAAGCATGACAAAATTCAGAAGTCACACAGGTCTGTCATTGTACACTTGGTTTTTTCTATGAATGTACCTCATTGTCGGCCCAACAGAAGGCAGACAGCAGCAGCAGAGCCAGAGCGGAGAACCTGAAAACAGATGTGCGAGCCATCTTAGCAGACCTGCAGGATACAGAGAGGAATAAACCTTAGTTTCTACTCAGAGGAAAGATTCAGAGTTTAACAACTAAACCTTTACACATGGAGAGATCCTTCATATCTCGTCATCTGCTACTGAACTCACCTTGGATCCTCTGTGTGGACTTGTTGCCGGTGGGTTTTCCCTTCGGGTTTTTATTCGCTCGATACTGCCCAAATATGGATTATCAGAGTACTGGGAATCAGCTCAGTTAAAGTCTTATCAGTCACATAAGGTAAAGACATAAACGCGGATAGAAACAACCATTTAACCATGGGTGGGAAAAAGGACACTTGTTGCACTTTGTTCTTAATTTTCTGAATTTAAAACATGGTTCGAAGAAGTGCGGTATACCTGAACTGCTCAAATGACCTCGGATGTTCTTGTAAGTTAGAAATGAAACATATAACATGACACCTCACATGCAGAGGTGTAGAAATAACACCAAACTAGTCCTTGTCACAAATATCTGACTAAAACGAGGACAAAAGCAATAAAATGGGGAACATGTTACTTTGAATGAGCAAAATTATCGAGCAACACACTGCAAAACTGCAATACCAAGTTTAGTCTAATTTCTAGTAAAAAGGCCTAATCACACATTATACAAGCCGCATTACAGTGACAAGTCCAGATAAACATCTTATATCTACATATAAATAAGTCCTGCATTGCTTGAAGAGAGTAAAAATGGCTGCAGATGTAGAAAGCAAAATGTATTGAGTTCCTTGAGGATGAAGATCCTTTTTTAAGAAGCGAAACATTTAATTTTAATTTTGTTCTACCTGCAGACAATTTGAATCATTACATAACGCACACATTTTATTTTGCTTGTAATATCTTAAAAAAGATGTTTATCGAGACATTTCAGGTGAATGTGGCTTACAGTAAGTGTAATTAGATATTTTATCTAAGTATGATGGAAGACATTATATTAAGGAAGTATAGTGAGAACTAGTCTAAAAGTGTTTGGGGTTTGTATTATCTCAATTAGAATTTACTTCTGCACTTCAAACAAAGAACTGTAGGCCTATCAATTACGGTTAAAAAAATGCCAACTGTGGTTGGCAGAAACTCCACATAAAAAAATGGTATGACTTTTTCCACTTCTCTTTTGAAATGGTTTAAGAACTGTTTCTTTTTTTTTAGGGCACATGGACCAACCACTCGGCCTCCGGCCCCGGTATTTTTGACTAGAAATTGGCCAAATCTACTTGGTGAAATCTTTTGAAGTGTGTTCATCAATGATGTTACTCATTTGAAGTAACATTTCCCCCGTTTTAGCGCCAGTATCCTTTTGAGAGATGCTTTTTAAATTAAAAAAATATCAGTTCAATGCAGCAATATTTATTTTGTCCAACAAATTTCATTGTGTGTGTGTGTGTGTGTGTGTGTGTGAGTACGCACACCTCCAAAAGATGTGGTATTATTTTTTTGCATTTTTGAAATCACCAGAAAGACAAGACACACTTGTGAAGTATAGACCGATAGTCCCCTCCTAGTATGGTAAGCGTGTATGAGTGTGTGTGTGTGTGTGTGTGTGTGTGTGTGTGTATGTGTGTGTGTGTGTGTGTGTGTGTGTGTGTGTGTGTGTGTGTGTGTGTGTGTGTGTGTGTGTGTGCGTTTCAGTTTGAGTTGACATTATGTACAGTACATGCTGACTCTGGGATTCAGATCAGGGTCAGAGAGGTGTTATCACACACAGTACTGCTTGTTCAGCGTTTGATCACCTGTGTGTGTCTGGAGGCCATCAACGTGAGAATAACAGAAAACATGCGTACTGCCGATTACCTGCACAGTTACTCCTCAGTGAATGTTGACCTTGTTTAAGGACAGTTTCAATGTGTTCGATCAATCAGAAAGTGCAGATCTACACTGCATTAGTAGTTGGATTGTGCTGTTAGTATAGATTCATTTAGTGTAGATTGTAGAGTTGTGAGTTTCTAGTATTTACAAAGTTAGTTGGAGGTTGTAGGCAGTAGATGGGTTGTTAGGTCTTATCAATATTAGTTAGCTAGTGGCTTAGCTTTAATTGAAGGTTAGCTTTAGCTCGTAGTTTAGCACAGTGACTTTTATGAAACTTAGTTAGTTGTTTGATTTAGCATTTAGTTTTTAGAGTATTCGTTAGATAGTGGCCAGGATGGGTTGGCAGTTTCTGCCCCGGCTGCAGGAGCAGCTCCGGGTTGCACTGCTTTACAGCAGACCTGGAAATTAGACGCCATTTACGTTATTATCTTAAACTGATAGCAGTGACAATGCAGAGCCCAAACAATCAGCAGCAGATGATTCAGACTATTCCAACAGTCGATTCAGAAACACTTCGTCCAGTTGTGGACATGTTTCTGCAAAAGATTAGTCTGGAGAACGGGTCTCACGACATGGAGACCAAGGATATTATAACCGCCATGTGTGTGGATATTGTTAATATTTTAGCTAGACACATATATATAGCAATGGAGCAACAAAGTCCTCCTCATTCATTTAAAAGTTCTGGATCCAACAAATCGAAGACCAAGTCAACCGGTGTCTGGGTGATTCAGTTTTACTGGCCCTAGCGAAGGTTATGCGTGTCAAACAGGTAATTTGTTGCCGGAGCACAGAGGAGGTGACCGAGCTTGTGGTTGAGGAAGTTACTGAGAGGATTAATTCAAAGTGTGTCAGCGAGAGGGACGAACCCTTGGCCACTAAGAAATTTGCGAACCGGCTCAGGAAAACGGCGGCAAATGTCGTCGTTTTAGTTAAAAGATTTAAAAAAAATATGACGTTACCATCCAAATTGAGAGGAAAGCGGGTAAGTAGAGCAACACGGGAGAAAACGGTGAGACAACAGGATGAGGAGCTGTTTGAAACTGGGGGGAGTAGTCAGAGCAGAACTTCCCTCGGATCGGTTCTTTCCAGAGACAGCGCCTTGTATGACACCAAGGAAGCTGTCAAGTCGATCCTGGAGGAACAGGCAGACAGAGTGACATCTCGGAGGAAGAATTACAATCTCTTATCTCCAGCTCGAGCAGGGATTCGGACCAGGCAGCTTGTCAAATTCAGTGGATTCAAAAGCGTCATCACACAGGCTGCCGGAATCTGTCAAAAAAGACGATACGCCCACATGTAGGAGTGTAAGGAGTCCATAATCAATTTTGAGGCAACAATTTGCCGACATGCGTCCGAAAATTAGCAGATCCTGCATTAAGATACTCAGTGAGGAATCGGATGGTTTTGTGGACGACATGATCCCACAAGAAGAAGAGGAGACGATGTGATGTGCCTATATAAGAATGGCAAGAGACATTGTGATGATTGATCATGTGACCGTATGTATTTAACACACCTGTGTGTGCCTACGATTGGATTATGCTGAGCGAAACCTGAGGAAGCTACAGGAGAAACTCGTTGTTTGCTCAAAATTAAGTGACAGTAAAGTAAGTTTCAGTGTACCACCTTTTATTTTTAATCAGTGAATTGAACAGATTTGTAGCTACAATGTCAATAGTAAGGCAGTAAGAACAAAGTATAATTAGCTACTCTAACGTCAGTAATCATAATGATAATTATAGCAGTTGTTGAACATGAGATTTATTCATGTATTGTTTGAAGTGTCAGAATATGGTTTATATGTCATGAATATTGTTCAGTCATATGTACGGTATATTTGACATTTTTATTGGAGGGATAGCCCCTTGAGATTCACCATCTTATTTTCAAGGGTCCCTTGGCTCATAACAAAAAAAGGCTCAATCCAGGTAATGCTTTGCAGATATATTTTTATTCATTATAGGTATTACATCAAGCTACAAGCAGCTATTGTTTAATAGAGGCTCTGATTCACTAAGAATGGATTGCGGTCGCTTATAGCTCACAATAAATTGTGCATTATTGGGCCAGGCTATCTGCTACGTTTCAAGGTCTAATTGTTGAGTCGCTGACTGTAACCACATTTGGCTGTTAGCGCCAGTGTTTGGGAATTACATGATTTTTTGCAATTAGACTCATTTGCACAAAATGGAAGAGGAACTTCCTCCAAATGAATAATGGCTCATTTGAAAACACGCAACCATCACCGCCACGCTCTGCAGCACAATAAGGGGTGCATTTAACCCTTTGCATGTGTTTTGTGAATTAGATTTGAAAAATAACATAATCTTTTGGAGTCATTTGCACAGGCTTAGCGAGCGCAAAAGGCGTGCAATCCTTTTGTAAATCAGGCACAAAGATTGCAATTGAAATCGTGTCACTTGACAATTTTTGTTTCCAATGAAGACAGCACAAAATTTTAAGAAAGCATGCTCAGTCAGAAAAATATGCATTTCTGGTTCTGCTTGTTGATAATAAGTCGAATCAATCTGCCATTTCCTCTTGATTACCTGTAAAAAGATGGAGGCATAAAAACCACATGAATGTACAAACATAGTGAGACGTTATAATGATTAAGTTAGACTTCTGTTCACACTGTGGTCATGCAGGTAAAATGTTGACAACACATTACTAACTAAACTTTATTCCGGGGGGCTTTGCTGACTCCCCATTTCATCATCATTACAGTTGCTATGTTATTATGAGACTGATCAGTCTATTATTATACCTAGCCATTACCGTTAATACTACACCTACTTTTACCATTATGACTGACGTTGTAGCTCTAACTCTATCTTATTCATTGTGTTTGTTGTTGTTCCTCTGCTTGTCTCTATCCTTCTCTCTCTTCCTGCATCTCCCTCTATCCCACTTTCCCCAGTTTCGGCAGACAGCTGTTCAACATGTTTCTGATTCTGCTCGAGGTTTCTGCCTCTTAAAGGAAGTTTTTTTCTTGCCACTGTAACTTTGAAATGTTAACATTTAGTTAATGCTAAATGTTGCTTAGTGCTCATAATGGATTAATGCTGGGTCTTTGTAAATAATACAACAAAGAACCTGCTCTTTTTGTAGAGTGTCTTGAGATAAAAAAAATGTATGAATTGGCGCTCTACAAATACATTTTGATGGATTGACTAAATAAAGCATTACTATAAGCAGCAGTTCTATAAAGCCTTGTTGTAGATAAATATTCTGTATATAATCAGATCATGTCTTACTAACAGTTATCAAGGACATGCAAAACTTCCAAAAAATAACTAATTTAAAGAGCTCATATTCTGCCCTTTTTGGGGTTCGTATATTTAATCTATGTTCCTACTTTTGTACGTTCACAATTGCTAAAGTCCTCTGAATGCCCTGCTCCTCCTTGCTCCCTCTCCGCTCTGAGTCCGTCAGCTACGCTCTGCTGAGCCCACACTGTTAGACCCCACGTGGGCCAAGTCTGCTCTGATAGGTCTGCCGATCCGCTCTGTCGTTATTGGTCAGTTGCTCTGCACGCGTCTAGGAAATTTCAACATGAGCTGCTGGGCTTGCCACAACGAGCCAATGGGCTTAGATCAGTGATCTCACACTGACAATGACGCCGCACTCACAAATTTTTTTCGAGGGGGGCTAGAACCGAGCGTTACATGCGGCTAATGCTACAGCTAACAGGAGGACGTAGGAGAAGCCACGTTTCCGCGGACTTTGAATTTTTGCACATAGATGTGCCTAAACATGCACAGGACACTTGGAAAACACACGAAAGAGCATATAAAACCAGAAAAAGCGTTAAGTGTTAAAATAAATCAATACTTGAGACCACATGGATGATAATATGTACCATTACCTTTGATTTTATAGGAGAAAATCTTTTTGTACTGGTACTGGTCCAGTTGTCAGAGCAGTGTCATCTTGATTTAAACAAAGAGAACATTAAAAAAAGCTGTTAGAGTTATTGATGGCTCTGCTACAGTAACATGAGCACAGACATGTCTGTGATTAATAGTGAGGATGAAGCCTCATCTCCCAGAAAAACATGAAACAACAATGACCCATTAACACCATAGCTAGGTGCTGACCATTACTGTCAATAAATAAATATAAAGGTCCTTTGCTCAATCCAGCAACATTCATAATTTAAAAAGATATCAAATATAAAATACACTTTACCATGTTCCTCTAACTCTAACATGTGTCTCTAGTCTGTCTACAAACCCCCCAATTATGAGAAAAGTCCATCCTCTCCTTTTGCCTGCTCTATTTTTCAGAAAATGTGTGCTCAAACAGGCTGTTTGGAGGTTTTCCCTTCATGACATCACAAAGGGCAGTAGCCCCTCCCCCAGGTGGGTGACACTCCCACAGCTTGGTGTTTGTTCTGCCCTCTGAGTCTGCCTTCTCACCGTAAACAATAGGACATGGAGCGAGAAAGCCTGAGACACCCAAGCCCTTCCAGGGAGGGGGCATGGTCAGACACAGCTCATTTACATATTTAAAGGTACAGACACAGAAACAGCCTGTTCTAAACAGGGCTGAAATAGAGGGGTTTATAGACATGATCAAATGCAGGATCAGAGTGGATTTAGAAAAAGAAACTTCACACACATGTTTTGGGGAGCTCTGAGACTTATTTAAACTGGTTGAAAAGGAGGAGGATATGAGATCTTTAAGGAATAAGTGATACTGAAAAGCAGCAATGCTAAAACCGCTGCATTTGACCCAGGAGGGTTCACCCAGAGGTTATGCATCACATTAGACAAATTAATGTTTACTGTGACAATCAAAAGGAAAGCTTCCTTTGACTTCATCAAATGTTTTCGGTGCAACGTCTTTTTACTCGTGCTCTCCTATGTACACTCTTGATCCGCATTGTTTGCATAAACTGCTGAACTATGAAAGCCAGATGTGATCATCATTTCTGTGTTTGTATTTCCAAAGAGTTTACAAGACAAACAGTAGAAAGATTTATTTAAAAAAAAGAAAAAAAAAAGACATAAGTTTGTTTGTTTGTTTGGCAGTTCATAGGCTACATGAGTCAAACTGGTACTTACTGCAGCGGTAAAGGATGTTCACTCGCTGGATGTCAATGGGACTCATCACGGAGGCTCTGCCAATGACTGCATTTTCGTCGGGAATAGGAATGATGGTTGGCCGCCCGTTACGAGAGAAGGCGAACCTATGGGAGAAACCCGCAGCAGTGATGATTGGGTTCACTTTTACACTAAGCACCATCTTTTGCCTCAGACACTTTTCAGGTTCAACCCAGAACCTCAAGTAAATTACAGCAGTGCTGAATGAACACTGAAAGCAGACGTATGAACGAGCTTAAAGCTGCAGAGAGAGAGTGGGGAATGAAATATGGGAAAGGAGCCACAGGTCAGCCTCAAATGGTTTTAGATGGTAAGTAAGGAGGAAATCACATTTCTTAACTCATGTCTCTGTTTCACAAACCATTTTAATGTTTTCTATCTTGAAAATTTCTAGTAAATGCAAGTCATGTCCTGCCTTCTGTCTGGTGATTGGTTCCATCCCAGTTCACGACATTGGCAGTTAGATACTCTCGAAGTTCAGTTTCATGGGGACTTTAAAGTTATCTTATCTAAGGGTTAACCTTATCCCCTTCACTGAGGGACGCCCATTCTTTAAACTAGAGGCTCACAGCTTTTTGAGCACTCTTACCAGTGACCTTAAAGGCAGGGTTGGTCATTTTCTCCAGATCGACTTCTTAAAGGGATACTTCACCCATTTGCATTAAGCTTTGTATCGTTAAAACCTGGTAGTATTTTTAAATGGTTGTGCATTCCGCACTGAGACGGGAAATCTTTGTATTTCTTGTCTGAAAAGGAGCCTCCGATGACCCAAAAATCGTGATTTTGCGTCATCTTTTGCCGACCAAGCACTGAGGGAATGCTACTTTGAAAATCATGCTAGTTTTCGAAAATGACCAACCAAATCAGTCTGGACTTCAGTCTTGTCCGGCCTCACTCATTCTCTCATTTCATCTTCTGGAAATAAAATCTTTTCAAAAATCTTTTTAAGCTTTTATTTTAAAAGTATAATATGCGACTTCCTGACCCTATGTGAATATATTGTGGCGTAATGACTTCCTCAAAAGACAGTGTAGTCTAACCCTGGGTTTGTTGTTCCCAGCTCTATGTTCATATGCATGAAAAGGCAGTCTGTTTTTGGTTTTCTCAGAGGCTCAAACTTCTTTCATACATGTTCAACTGTGAGCCTTGCCAGGTGGGGGAAGAGAGACAGGAACGCTGTATGTAGACGCACCATGACAGAGTCGCAAGAGTACAACCAAAGGACAACCGACAGACTTTTAAAACGGAAGAAAAAAACAACTTTCTTTGGCCTAACTTCAAGATACATATTTTTCCTTGGAACTGATCGCACAGTCTTCTGTTTTTTTTCTCAGCACCCATCCCTTGAGCACCAGCATGAAACCAAAACAACTTGCGCTGCATTGTTGTGTTAGCATGCTAATGCTAGCGATCTTTATTATGCTGGTATCTTCACACTGCATGTAAATTTACCTGAAATGAGCGTGATCTAGAAGCACAGTTAAGCAGTGAGTACAGTATGTTATTCTTCTTTTCTCTAGTCCCTCAATTAAACAACTATTATTCGCGAAGGGAGGGGACTCGGGTGTTATACCCATTGTAGACAGTCATTACTCACAGAATTATTTTCAGAGGATATACTTGATTTCTATTATATTTAAGTGTGAAAAATCACATATAAAGCCTTTAAGGTGCAGGGTGCAGTGGTATAATGTTGCTATAAAAAAAGTTCCCATTCACATACATGCTTCTTTTTCTTAACTGCCAGTTATGAGAAAATGAAATAGTGTGACATGGCCAAGTGACAATTGTATGATGACAGACTAAAAGAGATGAGATTCCACCTTTTGTATAATAGATATTGCATGATTTCACATTTGAATTTGTTCTAGGTGTATTGTTGATAAGTCTAATGAGCAAAGTGAGTAGTTACCTTGAATAGTGCATGACGGAGTTGTAGTCATAGGGAGTGTTGAGGTTGTTGGTTCGGATTCTACGGAAATTTCCCTCCGTTCCTGTAAGAGATCAGAAAACTCAATCATATTTTTGATGACATCTTTGTGTTCTCTCTCCTTTTTTCTTCCTCCTTATCTGCCTATCTTCTCTTCCTTCTTCTCCACTTTCTCTTCTGCCTTTTCCTCTTACAACTACATCTCTCCCCTTTCTGTTTCTCCTCTCCTCTTTCTCCCCTGCTCATCTTTCTCCTTCTACACTTTTTCCTCTTCCTATTCATGTGTGCTGTGTGCAGTCATAATAAACTGTTAATAAAATAATGAATGGTTTTAGTCAAACCCACCAGGCTCAACGTTCTCTAACAGGATGCGAACATGCTCGTCCCTGTCAGATCGAGTTTGTTCATGGTCAAAGCCCAGGGCGTGGAGCATCTCGTGTTGGATAGTGCCAGTGAAAACACAGCCACGGCGCATTAAAGACACAGTCTGGTTTCTTCCACGACGCCCGACAAAAGAGAAACATCTAAAGGACAACAGAAGACAAAACAGTAAAACAGCTCAAGATGAAGCCCTCTGTCCTCTTGTCAGACAAACTGTGTTCTTTGACAACGTCTGCAAGCTCCAGTGAAAGAGGCCTGTTTGTATATAAGGTGAACTGCATGCAGGTATTATGTGCACCATGGGGTCCTTACCCTGTTAGGGATTTGATGTCCACAAAGTCTCGCTGTTGGTCCTGGGGGGTGAATCGGATGCAGGTGGGATTGGCGAATGACCGCAAGGCCTGGGTGATGATGTTTCGCTCTCTTCGAGCTTCACAAAAAAAAAAGTCATATAACTTAAGTTTATCGTATTCCCACTGATATCATGATAAAAGGAATCTAAACAGAGATCTACAACTACTAGACTTTTTCTATTGCCATTTCTACAGTTGAAAAGAGTTAATCCATCTGAAGACAAAACCATTGAATGATTTTTATTTAGCAAAGAAAAGACAATATGGTCTGATTCAATCTGCTGTCTGCAGGTTCTGTTTTTGTTGATCTATTAAATTCAAATTCAAATTCACCTAAATTTACAGTCCTTCAAGGGGTCATATTCTGCTTTTTCTGTTTTTACATGCTCTTTCGTGTGTATTCCAAGTGTCCTGTGCATGTTTAGGCACATCTATGTGCAAAAATTCAAAGTCCGCAGAAATGCAGCTTCTCCTACCTCCTCCTGTTAGCTGCAGCATTAGCTGCATGTAACGCTCGGTTCTAGCCCCCCTCTAAAAACAATTGCCACTGTGACGTCTTATCAGTGTGATATCACTGATCTAAGCCCATTGGCTCGTTGTGGCAAGCCCAGCAACTCATGTTGCACGCCCATAAACTTCTGTAGCACGCCCACGATATGCTGTAGCCTGCGGTAGCACAGTAGTGCTAAGGTGCTAATGTTAATGCTCCCCTTGGAGCCAAAGTGGCTGCATTCCCAATATGGTAAAAGGGGCGTGTTATTTCCGAGAACCGTGCTGAGCAACTGACCAATTACGGCAGAGCCGACAGGCCGACCAATCAGATCAGACTTGGCACACGTGAGGACTCTGAACGTGGGCACTTCAGAGCCTTAGAGAGAGAGTCAGAAGCGAGCCGGTGCATGGAGCGGCAGTTCATGAAAACAGACACTTTTTTCGAACTTAAGCTATTGTGAACATACTTTAGTATGTACATAGATTAAATATACAAACCCCAAAAAGGGCATAATATGACCTCTTTAAGTTTGTTATTATCACTTCTTTGGATGGTGCATTTTACTGAGGCTCTGAAGGTCAACTTCACAGAACACAAGAAAGTTTTAACTAAATGAAAAAAATATTTATGGATCATTAAATTATTACAAAAAATGAAAGCATATTACCTAAAAATATATAATAATGAAATGCAAAAACATTTCACAGACCACAAAAATTTCATTAAATGCATAAACTTATGTTTCATGGAAAAATTTAGTTTTATGATTTAATTTTTGTATGTTCGTGAAATATAGCGATTCTTTAAGTATTTCTCTGTTCTGTAAAATTTATTTTCTTTTGCACTGTCCAGGCCACCGTAGGGTTACCTTTCACAACATGTCTGATCAACTGTTCTTTTTTTTTTTTTTTGCAAGGGAATTCAAATATTGTTTAAATAATCATGATGACTACCATGACCAGTGTGAGTTTCTATCAAACAAACAGCTTTGTGATCTACAACTGCTGATGCTGTTGCGATTATTAGCACCTGTTGCCTGTAGTACTTTTGCTGAAAATGTACATATAGTTAAATTTTGAAAAAGGAATCAGTCATATTGGCTTATAAAAGTGCTGCCTTTAAAACTGGACTGGTTATTGAGACTTACAGTAGTCTGGGCTGATGCGGAACGGAACGTAGACGTTGCCGTCTGTGGCTTTAGGCCACAAGCAGCCTCGTGATGTGCAGGGATCCGCGTTCTGTAGACCTGTGGGCACCGCTATGTCCCCAAACATCACGAGAGGATCATTCACGTTCTTTCCTGAAAGAAACAACACAATGGTACTTCATAAAATGTTTTCATCAATGTCATTGTAAAGCATTTTCGTTTAGTTTTCTCTCCTGTGTGAAGTAAACTTATACTGAATAACAACTTCACTATACAGTTTGTCATTTTGTGTCATAAAACAAGAGCAAAGAGGAACTTACCAATGTTACGATTTGCCTTCTCTATAATTGTGGAGACACTGAACTCATCGTCGTCAATGCTGTTTCCTGCAGAGAACAGACATTTAGTTCATATATCAGTATTATGACATAAGATATTATATCATGAGATTCTTTCTGTCTGAAAGAAACCATAACTCACCAGAGGACTCATCTGTGTTGTCAAAAGAAGCCTTTAAAAAACACACAGAGTAAAAAACTGGGATTGTGAAGGTTTCTCTGTAAGTTTAGTCTTCTTAAAATGTATCTGAAATTAATGTGAATCTAATGTAGATAATAATGACAGCATTATATATAAAAAAGAATAAAGTGCAATACAACCTTTACTGCTCATTGTACCGTTTTGTAACATCAGAATTGCTCACATTGCATTTCATATTTTATTTTAATTTTTATTTAGTGAACAATCAAGAATCTGTCCCTCGATATTGATTGATTTAACAACGTTTAACTATTCACAAATCCTAAATGCACTGCTCTTAGTGTTCATAGCAAAATAATAATTCACAATACCTGTCCACGGGAGGCTTTTAGAAATAACAGATAGCAATAAACAACTTACAATGAGTGTTCATGCTTACCGGTATAACAAAACTGTGGACAGAGCAGAGGAGGACGCTGACCACAGCAGCTTGGAGCATCATGGCTGGTCGTTGGACAGCAACACCAAAGCAAGACAAAGTCTGGGGAGAGACGAGTGTGTCGACTTATATATGTGGGGAAGCAAACTAACTCTCATCCTAATAAGGCATAGAGGTCATCAAAGACTTGTTGGCAAACTCAGCTCAGGTGGCAGTTATTTCTTAAAAAGTGAGTTTACTGTGGGTTGTGTAATTTTGGGGCCCTTGTTTTCTGTTGTTTGTTCCCCCAAGACACTGCACATGAAGAACGTCTTTAATCACTAGGCAAATATAATAGACAAAAAATGTATTTAAAGGCACTTTTCAAATCACTCAAGGTGACTTGCAAAGCAGAGATAAGAACAACAAAGTAACAATACATCGATAAAATTAACATTAAAAAAGACAAATTTACAGTGTATGAAATCTTTGTTAAGAGGATTTGTGAGACAGGATGGATAATGATTAGACAGAATATGCCAGTAAAAAGATGTGTTTTGAGATGAGACTGAGGAGTGATCAGTCTTGAGAAAGAAACGGTCAAGTTTTTAAATTGTGGATTTGGTGCCAATGAGGAGAACATCTGTTTTGTCATTATTAATTCGAGGAAGTTGAAGGAGAACCAGGATTCGATTTCTTGTAAGCAATCAGACAGGGAAGTAGGCGGGAGGGAGGAGGTGGGTTTGGTGGACAGCTAGAGCTGGGTGTCATCATGTTAAATTTACGGAAGTTATGGCCAAGAGGAGGGAGATAGATGATGAACAGAAGGGGGCCCAGGAAATAACCCTGATGAACACCGGTAGTGACTGGAAATGGCTGGGAACTGAAGGTTTTGAGTTGAATGAATTGAATGCGACCAGAGAGATAGGATGCAAACCAGTTCACCATTTTTGTTCATAGTTTTTCCTCTGTGCAATTATCGTGTACAAAGATACCATGGTCCCAGGGAACCAATAATGGGTAATTTCTTGTTTTTATTTACGAAAGATTGCAATTAAACTCCTACACATTGTTTAAACTGCACTAAGATGTTGGCAAAATGTCAAAGAGATGCCATTGTGTGCAATGTTAACAACGTCTCCTCCTCTATTCCCTGTCTGTTTGAAAGACTACTATACTGATGGCCTATGATTAATGGTCTTTCCATATTTCATTTATTAAAGTGGAATATTTGACAGATACCAACAAAGTTTAAGCTAGAACCTTCGTGTCAATATAATCACTGGACAAATATCCCACAACTGAAGCCAGCAACCCACAGAGTTGCAAAAGCTTTGTTTGCGTTCATGCGACTTCTCCAAACTGTTGGCACATACCTCTATATGCAACAGGTGTTTGGGTAACACACAGCCCGTCAAAAAAACAGGAAGAGGAGGGAAACACTCAGAGTGCTATGCTATAGAGTGCTCTGTTCAAATCTTCGCTCCTGTGAAATTATAGATGTCGTACTTTATCGTTTGTTTGTACAACACAAAATCACAACAAAATTTAAATCTCATGACTTTACAAGCAGTTGTTAACATGTCTGTACGCAGGAACTGCCGGGCTCTTGAAAAACCCAGTAAATGGGCACTCCCAGGATATGTTTTAACTGTATCAACATTTGCACATTGGATCAGTAGTGTTAGCGCTAGCCTCCTGGCTGTAATTAGCTCTCATCAGCCTTTGGAGTCGACTGAAATAACTTTGTTAACAAGTTCTTGTTGGTGTCACATGCTAGCCAGCTCCCTGCTTTTCTTATTCTCTCTTTTCTGGGATCCTAACTTTGTGCAGGTCCTGGAATGGCTGTACTCATCCCAACTTAACAGTTAAATTCACTGGGCTCGCTAACATCGGTGACATTACATATTATATCATTTTAAGAACAAGGGGTTTACATTTTGAAACAGCCTACAATTAACTGAAGCAAAAATATAATACAATTTTGTTTTTTTGCTGTTAGAGGAAATGGTGAGTATTTAGGTGTCAAATAAAATTGGGTCATTGTTGCTTCGAATTAGGGTTGACCATGTTTTTGGTAAGCTCCATGGGTCCTCCCCATGCGACTGAGTGCCAGAAAGCCTTCCCCTTTATCTCCCATATAGGCGGCCACACCTTTTATATATATGAGAGCACTTACTTTAGCTTGCACTGTGAGGATGACCTTTTATTCTCTACTGCAACCTTCACAACAAATTACAATAAGTTAAAGGAAGAATGTGCTGCTTGTTGATCCAGTAGATGTCGCTCTTGAGCACAAGCATGAAACCAAAACACAAAGGCTTTCACATTTGTATTTCCACTGAGTGGAAACATTTAGTTTTCTTATCTAATAACAAAGACGTGTTTTAAATAATTGACTCTGTGCAAAGTTGTTATAAGCAATATGCCTTGATATGCTAAAACACTTGTAATGGATTCTGAGACTATGCAAATCTCTTTTGTAGTTTACAAGCGACAGAAAGTTATGAAGAAAAGATAACCTAATATATCATTGTCCCAGTGCCGAAACACTCCAGCCCGACAGGCCTGAACAACTACCGCCCTGTGGCACTCACACCCATCATAATGAAGTGCTTTGAGCGACTGGTCCTAGCACACCTGAAAAACTGCCTCCCACCCACACTGGACCCATTCCAGTTTGCCTACCGCAGCAATAGGAGTACAGAGGATGCAGTCTCCACTGCGCTGCACTCTGTGCTCACTCATCTGGACAATAACAACACATACGCACGAATGCTGTTTAATGATTTTAGCTCAGCATTCAACTCTGTCATCCCCTCCAAGTTGAACACTAAACTCGGAGACCTGGGCTTCAACTCCTCCCTCCGTCACTGGATAATGGACGTTCTGACCAACAGACCCCAGTATGTTAGGTCAGGACACACCTGCTCCACCATCATCACACTCAACACAGGCGTACCACAGGGCTGTGTGCTGAGCCCATTCCTCTACTCCCTCTTCACCCACGACTGCAGACCTGTACATGGATCCAACACCATCATCAAGTTTGCGGACGATACAGCGGTGATTGGCCTCATCAGCAACAACGATGACACGGCCTACAGGGAGGAGGTACAGCATCTGGCCGCCTGGTGTGCTGACAACAACCTGCTCCTCAACACCAGCAAGACGAAGGAGATCATCGTGGACTTCAGGAGAGAAAGAGGAAGCACACACAACCCCATTCACATCAACGGGATGGCTGTTGAACGTGTCTCCAGCTTCAAGTTCCTGGGGACCCACATCACAGAGGACCTCTCCTGGTCCACTAACACCTCCAGTCTGGTTAAGAAGGCTCATCAACGCCTCTTTTTCCTGAGGACACTGAAGAGACACCACCTGTCTTCAGCTGTACTGATGAACTTCTACCGCTGTGTGATCGAGAGCATCCTGACCAGCAGTGTCTCAGTCTGGTACGGAAACTGCTCTGTCGCAGACCGTAAGGCGCTACAGCGGGTGGTAAAAACCGCCCAGCGCATCACAAGGTGTCCACTTCCTGCCATTGAGGATGTCCAAAGAACACGCTGTCTGCGGCGAGCTCATGGCATCCTTAAAGACTCCTCCCACCCTGCCCACAGACTGTTTACCCTCCTGCCCTCCGGCAGGCGCTTCAGAAGCCTCCGGACCAGAACCAGCAGACTGAGGAACAGCTTTTTCCCCAGAGCTGTTTCTCTACTGAACTCTACCCCCCGAACTCTGAACTCTGTCTCTCTCTCTCTCTCCCTCTCTCTCTCCGCACCCTGCTGACCCCCCTTTCCCCTCCATATCACCTCACACCCATCATCCCCCCACCACTACTCCTGGTCACACACACACATCTCTCATCCATCTGTATTATTGTATTATAGTATGTTCATATTCTTTAAATTATCTGTAAACTTGTATAACATGCTCACTGCACCTTAATCTGTATATTATTAGTATAGCATGCTCACTGCATCTTAATCTGTATATTATTAGTATAGCATGCTCACTGCATCTTAATCTGTATATTATTAGTATAGCATGCTCACTGCACCTTAATCTGTATATTATTAGTATAGCATGCTCACTGCATCTTAATCTGTATATTATTAGTATAGCATGCTCACTGCATCTTAATCTGTATATTATAATCCTAAGAACACACTTATTTTGTAGCATTACTTATTTATAGCATTTATTTATATTTATTGCATCCCATTAATCCAGCCATCCAGATTTACCTAATAATTCACTTTCTTTGTCTACATCTGTAAATTTTGCAATTACTGTACATAGCACAGAATTACTGTACATAGCACAGACTCTTGCACTCAATTACTGTACATAGCACAGACTCTTGCACTTTCTGCTAATTTGCACTTCTGGTGAGATGCCAAACCTCATTTCGTTACTCTATACTTGTATATGTGTAATGACAATAAAGTTGAATCTCATCTCATCTCATCTCATCTCATATCATAAAAGGAGCCAGAGCAATCAAGCAGGTCATTCATTAATGATCAGTTACTAAACTGCAGAGCATCATGGCTGCAGTACATCGTCTTTGTGATTCAGTGTGCTGCAACAACTTCTTGTCTCTTTGTGGGAAAGAGTTTGAGAAACTTCTAAACAGAGCTTGTGTCGCTTTCTGTGTGAAATATTGATGCAAGAGGTTTGTGAAATGCAGAAATTTGTGAAATTTTTTTTCTCTGTAAGTCTGAGATATGGACGTGTGAGAATGAAATATTCTTTTATTTCTAAAATTGATATAACGATACACAATATAGAAGAGATAAAAGTACATAAATCAGAGGATGTATTGTTATTTCAATGTCTAATACAGCTAAATAAGTCCCAATTATGTGCATGTTTCTTCAGACAATATTAAGGGGAAGTGAAAAGAGGAACAGCTCTACATCTGCAAGACATATCATGTCTAATTATTCAATCCTCATAATTTATTGTGTTTAAAAACCAAGCTAGCTGAATAGTTTTATTATCTGACGACTGTTGATCCTCCTAGTCTATTCAATCAGCTGTCCTCAACTGGGGGCTCAGGACCCACAAGCGGGTGGTGGAGCTGTTTTCACTGGGTCTGGAATGAGTGCCTGAGGAAGAAAATGGTGACGAT